GGCCTGAGCCCCTCCTTGTCCTGCAAGTGCCGTGGGATGGCACTCAAAGTGACCTGCTCCACAACCTTCCCCAGCACTCAGGTCAGACTCAAAGGCCTGGAGTTCCCCCCATCCTCTTTCCAGCCTTCTTTCCATGCGTCACTGGGGAGCACAAGCCCTGTGACCCCAGGGGTTAAATGAGCCCATCCCAGAGCAAAGCCAGTGAGAAAGGCCCAACCTAAGGACAGGCTGAGCCAGCTGGGAGAAAGGTGGGCAAGGAGCAAATGCAATGGAAGGGGCAGCTCCTCACCCCGAGCACACCTCCAAAGCCAAACCACCCTGGCAGGGTTGTGAGGGAATGGGGCCCCTCCTCACAACACACCCACAAACCACAGCATATGAGGGACATGGGGTGACCTCACTGCTACACCCCAGCTCTCCAGTGCTTTGCTCATGTCTGAAAATGCCACAACACTCAAATTCCAGGTAAATGCTCCGAAAACCCAACTCCTCAAAGGTGCCGCCAGCTGACAGTGCTGGGCCAAGGCTGTGCCGCCCCTGCGGGAGCAGCATAAAAGCCGGCCCAGCGCCTCTCTCCCTCCCACGCTTCTCCTGACGCCTTCTCCTGCCTTCTCTGCCCACAACCAGGTGAGCCTCCAGCCCCTCACAACCCCCTCCTGCTCCTCACACACCGCCCCCCTGGCCCCTCTCTCCCAGCACGCTCCGCCCCAGCCTCAGCAGCCCTCACGCCTCCCCACAGCCCCACACCAGCCTCCCCACTGCCCAGCCCTCCTGCAACACCGCCCCGAGCACCCCCACCGCCCTGCGCTGCCTCAGACCCCTCTCTGCTCTCAAATTCTCTTCTCTTCTCTTGCCTGCCCTCCCAGGGCCCCTCCACACCACACCCATGGCCTGCAACAACCTCTGCAACCCCTGCGGACCCACCCCGCTGGCCAACAGCTGCAACGAGCCCTGTGTCAGGCAGTGCCAGGACTCCACCGTCCTCATCCAGCCCTCCCCCGTCCGCGTCACCTTCCCAGGGCCCATCATGACCTCCTTCCCCCAGAGCTCCTTCGTTGGATCCACCGCAGGGGCTGCCCTGGGCACGGAGCTCAACGTCCAGGGACAGCCCATCTCCGGCGGCTTTGGCTACGGCCTCGGCTATGGCCGTGGCTTTGGCTACGGCCTGGGAGGCCTGGGCTGCTCTGGCCTGGGAGGTCTGGGCTGCTATGGCAACAGGGGCTGCTACGGCATCTGCTGAGGCCCCACATGAAGTCACCAAATGAACAGGGATTCATCTCCACACCAAGGCTCTCCAATGGGCTCAGCACTTCCAGCTCCTGCTCTCAGGGATTCCAAGCAAGGAAGCAGCCAAGGGGCCAGCCTGCACTGACTGCAAACATGGCCCAGCTCCCTCCTCCTCTTCTCCCCCTTCCTTCTCTCCAGCGCCCCTTCGGCTCTGGCCAGTCCCCTCTGCTGCAAACACCTTCTCACAAGCCACACACCAGCGGGCACCTCCGCTGGGCTGCTCCCAACAAGGGGAGCAGCAGGATCTCGGGACTCTGGACAAATCTCCTGCAAGGGAAGGACCTCGGCTGATGGTCGCCCTACTTGCACCTCACACCGGACTCCTTTTTCCTGGTTGCTCCTTTCTTTTCACTCTTTAGTCTCAATAAAGTTCTCCTGCATCACAGCCTCTGATGTCTCCTCTTAATTTTTTCTTCCAATGTTCTCACAAGCTTAAGGAGTACAACACCAGGGCTCAAGGGGCCATCAGGATGGGTGGAAAAGGGCCACAAGGCCTTTCTTAACAATTGTGCCATCAGCTCTAACACACAGACTGGCACAGGGTGGGGGGCCTTCCAAAGTATGGGACAAACCCATCACCTGCACCAAAGGCTTCCACACAACAATGCTCTCCTGCACACGCCCCTGCCAGTCTCTCTATTTCAACACAAACTGCACAAACTCTCTTCCCCAGCAGGACTCTCAAACCCTTCAGCAAACAGAGTTACAAGATCATTCAGTCTGGCAAAAATGCTGGAGAGCAAGTGCTTCACCCCTCTTCACAAGCAGAGCCCGAGAGAGCAGGATTTCCAGCACAATGGACAGTTCAGTTTTAGATCTCTCAGGATGGAGACTCCACAACCTCTTCCACGCTATAAACACCCTCAAATTGCCTTCTCTGCTCATGGAATTCATTAGTTTTCACTTATGCCCATGGCCACCTCTTCTGCTACTGGGAAGCAGTTACAAGAGCCAGGCTCACTTGACTTCATTCCTGCCATCAGGAATTCATACACACCTAAGATGACCCAGGGCACATTTTTGACTCCTGACTAAGCGTTCCCAACTCTCTCACTCTCTCCACTTAGGAAAAGCTCCTGCAACCCTTCAAAATCCTTGTGGTCCTACACTGCTCTTGAGTCACTCAGTCCAGGATCCTTTGGTTCTCCACCATTACCACAACCTCCATCTCTGCTGGGTTGCTTTCTAGCTAATTGTTCCCCACCCACTGCTGCCACAAAGAAGAGTCCTCTGCAGAAAAAGGACTTGGCATTTCCCTGCTGAATTCCATGAGATTCATCTCTGGGCAGTGATGGAAAATCAGGTCCCTCCCTCAGCACTCCAGGCTTCATCCCACCTTTCCTCATGGACTATTGCACACCAAGTCACACAACCCCCTCTCTGGGGGGATCCCTGAGACCCTCGGACTCCCTGGCACCCCCAGCCCAGCCCTGCACTGGCCCAGCTGCCTCTGGCCTGCCAGGCCCTGCAGCCCCAGCAACGCCCAGCCACACATCCCCTTCCTGCCTGCCCTCCTCTTCCTCCCCAACACCTCTGCTGCCCTGGGGGACAACCCTCAGCACACTCAGCTCCCCTGCATTTAGGCAGCTGCTGGCACTCAGCACAGCTCCTGGCAGGCTGCAATCAGCCCAACTCAGCCCCACTTAGCAAAGGCAGGCAGGGAAGATGCAGGAAACTGCAAACCTGTCCATCTATCCGGAGCACCTGGAAAATTGGGCAGAAGATCCTACAGGGTGGAACTGGAAGGCTTTGAAAGGACAATGCAACCATCAGGAACAGTCAGGGTGGGCTCACTAAGGGAAAGTCTCTCCTGCCTCATTTCATAGCCTTCTATGTTTATGCCCCTCCACTCACACATGAAGGGAATGTGGGGGATGCAGTTTGTTGGGCTTTTAGTCAGGTTGATGCTCCTGTCCCTCACTGCACCCTCCTGGACAAGACAATTGTCCAGCTGGGCATGAGCAGCACAGGCAGCCCTGGGGGAAGCCCTGGGGGATGACAGAGCTCCAAGGGGGACAGTGACTGGGGCTCCATCTGCCTGCTGACCCATCCCCAGCGCTGGGCCCTAGGGCTCCAGGGCAGCGCCACTTCTCTCCAACATTTTGATCCATGCTCTGCAAGCAGGACAAGTGGCCAGCAAGAGCCAAAGGCCATCGGGCAGCCACTGTCCCCTGCAAATTGCCCTCTCCTGAAGGCTCTTCTTTGCCCCTGGCAGTGCTGTCAGAATACAGGAATGGATGGAAATGGTGTAAGACCAAAGCTCCAGCCTGGAAGGGTCAGAACATCAGCTCCCCCAAAACAGCTCCTGAACCAGATCCAGCAGCAGCAGCTGCACTGCTGAGGCTTTCAGGCTTCCCTGGGTCCTACAGGAACACTTGGACCATGACAGAGCAGGAGAGAGGAGCACACTGACCTTCTGCTACTCATTATGGGGTTTTGCTCATGGGAAAGCAATATTCAGCCTTATGGGTTATAGGTTATGAAATCTTATGCCTTGAATGCTATAGAAGGGATCTGACCTACAAATAAGAGTGGGCAAAAAGGGACCAAGCCCACTCTGTTGTTTGTTTATTCAACTTGTAAATGACACCATGAAATACAGTTTCAATGACAGAGTATCATGTCCTGTAAATGTGAGAGATCCCAAGGGACCGTAACCCTGGGAATGAGGGCAGCCTGACCACATGCCAGTTCTCCAGGGAGTCACTGCTGCTCTTCATCCACAAACCAAGCCAGGAGCTCTCTTTCAGCCCTCAGCAAGCGCTCCCAGGCACTGGCCCCAGGAGCAGCTGATGGCAAGAGGAGGACAGTGGCCTCCCCCGCACATCAGGCAGCTCCCTCAGCATTCCTGGCTGCAGCACCTCAGGC